TATGTAGTTGTCATCCATGTAGCTCCCCCCATCCTCGGGGGGGGGGTTGCCAGTCTTCGGCTTGTGTGCTCGGGCGGCGGCGATGGACGCGTCAAGGTCTTCGGCAACCACGGCTCCAAATGCAACGGGGCTTTCTGGAGCGCCCTGGCGGACGCCGTTGCTCTGGTCCACGAGGATGCTTTCCCCGGCCACGTGGATTGTGATGCGCTGCGCATGAAGGAGGGAGACCCAAGCTCGGGCTTCCCAAGGCAGTTTGCCTTTTTCCCCCACTTGCTTGCTGATGTGGGAGGCGAGGCTCTCTTGGAAGATGCTGTCGAAAGCCTTTCTTATGTCCAGTTTGGCAATGTACATCTCCAAGCCCCAGTCATGTGCAATTCTGGCAATTCGACGAAGGATCATGATGAGCTCGATTCCCTGGCGTCCTTTGCGGCACCACTGTAGCCTGGCGGGGGTCTGTACTGAGTCCCCCGCTCGTTGAAGGAGAAGTTGTCCGAATGTTTTCAGCAGGACGGACGTCAGTGTGATGGGGCGGGTCTCCCCCCATGCCAGTGGCTGTGGCACTTTCGCCAACAAGATTGTGATGCTGGCCTCGATGCTCTCCACTATGCGGGCCGTGTAAAGCATGTCGTTGAAGAGTTCGACGAGTTTGTTCCCCCAGGCCGGATGGGAGAGCATGGCTTTGAGGGCTTCGTGTGAGACTCGGTCGGGGCCACACGATTTCCCATTCTTCCACCTGCTTCGCGTCGCTTGGAGGTCCTCCAGTTGGAATGGTCTCCACGGTTGTTGCTTGCAGAGTCGGGCAAGTCGCCCGAGGGTGTCCTGTATGGCCATGGACACGCTAGTTCCCCGCTGCTTGGCGAAGATGCTCTCGAAGTGCTTCCGAAGTTTTTGTCGCCAGTCCGCGTCGTCTGTCAGGCTTAGCTCCCAGTCATGGTTGCGGGCTTGTTCCACCAGGGCTCTTTTGGTGGCCCAATCTTGCTCCGCCACCAGTTGCATGGCCTTTCGCTGCCATTGTCGATGTTCGGCTTGGTGTTGCTTGCGAGCCATCTTCCAGAGCTGTCGGCGGTTTTCCCCCGGCTGCTCTTGGAGGGCTCTTGCTCGGAGTTGTTTGAGCTCACTGCTTTCGCGGAAAGGTCGTCTTGCTTTCCCCGGGCGAGTGATCTCGACCGCCACGTCCTGTATGAGGCGAACGGGGTCTCCCCCGCGTCCCTGGGAATCTTCCAAGACTTGCTTCACCTTGGTGCTCGACAGCAAACTGCGGCTTGTCCATGCCGGTGCAGGTTTACGTTCAGCTGGCCGGATTTGCACCTGGGTGAGCGGGACGGCTATGGCTTCATGGTCAGATGTAGCTATGTCTCGGTGGTTTAGCACTTCCCCGGGGTCGCACAGCAATCGCTTCACGAGGATGTAGTCAAGGCGTCGCGGTTCCATCTGGTGGTTGTATGGAAAGTGACTTGCTTTCTCTAGTTGCTGCTCCGGGAGGTGTAGCTGTTGCTCTTCGAACCACTGAAGGAGGAGTTCCCCCGTGCTGTTGCTGCTTTGATCTGCTTGTTCTGACATGCTGAGGTGAAGGTCTCATTCGCATCGATGCCCACGATTGTTTTGTTGGTGGTGTGAATGTGGGGTTGGATTTGTTGAAGGATTTGTTCTGTGTGTGATAAGGTTGCGTGGTGGGGAATGTGTATGGAGACTGCCGAAATTCTTGGGGTCTGTTGGGTCTGTGAAGTAAGCACACAGCTGAGCGCACACGACAAGACCTTTCCCCGGGTGTGCTGCAGGTTAGAGGTATGCACTACGGCATTCCCCCGCCAGTCTTCGGGTCCTTTGCCGAAGAGAATCTGCAGCTCGTCCTTTTCAGCGTGGTGTTTCCCCGGCTCGCAGATGATCTCCTGTACGAGCAAGACCAGGGTGTCGGTGAAAGGCGGAATTCCCCCGCGACGGAGAGCCAGGATCGCATCTAGTGCTTTAGCAGCAGACAGTCCCCCGACGTTCCAGCTTAGGGCATGCATTGTCTCTCTGAGCTTCGGGTGCGTGGCGTCCCCCGAAGCTGCTGTGTCTTTGTCGACTCACATCAGCGCTTTGCGGAGGTCATCCCACCGCGTAGTCACTGACTCTTCTGATCCCCCGATTTGCCGCGTGAGGTTCCCGAGGTGCACCCAGCCAGCTTTCTCGATTGAGGCACCACTCGGCGCCGAGGTGACCCCCGAGGCCAGCTTCACGCTGTTGTACCACAAGTTTGCGGTCCCGTACTCCACCTCGATGCGGGAGGGGTCGCCCCCTTCCTCAATGATGAGTCTCTTGACTTTTCCTGCCAGCTGAGCTCGCTTGCGTCTCTCCGGGCTCTGCGACATTGTGGCAAAGAGGTAGCGGTGTCCCCCTTCTGGGCGCTGACCTGTGATGATTTTTGCTTCGCGCACGAGTCGTAGTACACCTTGAATGCGGGCACGTTGTTCAGCGTCAGTTTCCCCCGGTATCTTAGCAAGAGGGACGATGGTGAACCCCCTGCGAAGTCCGGGAACGAACGCTTGGCTTATGTCCAGGTCAGCCTTGAGGTCCTGCATGTGCTTTCGCATGAGTCGGAGGGTTTCCTCGTGGTGCTGATCCGAGTCCCATCCCCCGATAATGAGGGCGGGCTTTTGTCCCCCGGTCTCTGAATCTGAAGTGCGAGTACTAGACATTGGGAAGTCGGCTTTAGCGAACTTGCCTTCGAGGAGCTCAAGCCGCTGCAAAACGGAGCTCTGTTTTTCCCCGACTTCCTTGACGCTCTCCTCCATTGCACAGTGCCGGTCGGTCATGGCTTGCATCAGGCGTGTGGTATGCGTCACGTGCACTTGCATGGCTTGCTCGACATCACTGACCCTAGTGCTCAACCCTTCCATGTCTGTGCGAACCTTAGCCACGATCTCCTCGCGGTTCTCCTTGAGGGCTTCCAGGAGTGTGGAGAGGGTGAGCGGGCGCTCACTGTCATCTTCGTCCCCCAGAGCTTGGCGCTTGCGCCCCGCGACTGCGGGGTCGGGCTCTCCCCCGCTTCCATGGCCGCTGGCGGTCGCCATTGGATCTTGTCTAGGTCACCGTTCTCGAGGTAGCTCTCGATCAGGTAGTGGTTGGAGTCCCCCGCCCAGCGGTGAGGAAGGGCACGCAGTCTGTTTTCTGGTTGTCCCCCTGTAGGCTCGCCGATTTTATTCACAAAGCGGTACAGGAGGTCCCCCGCTCGCCGGATCTTGGCCACCCTCCTGCTCCGATCTTGACTATGTCCCCCGGCCGGACCTTCAGCTGGAAGACGCAATGTATGATCGAGGTTCACGTGCGGAACGATAGCGGGAGGCGCGGGTCTCTGTAGCTCTCTCCCCCTTTCGCACCGGGTTTGAGATCCTCTTCTCTCAGTTTTTACGGGGCTCGGACCTTGAACCACTCATGGCCTTGAGCCAAAATGGCTCTCTCTCTCTCTCTCTCTCTCTCTCCCTCCCCAGAACTGCGGGGTGCACCCGGCCAGCCGAGACGAACTGCTGCACAGCTCGGCGCACCTGCGTGAGTTTTCTGGTCTTTAGGGCCAGGTCTATGTCCATATGCATAAGTATGCAGAGAGAGAGAGAGAGATATAATATATATATATATATGTAATATGTATACAAAAAATATAGCAACCCATGGTATAGTGGTAGTAGCGGGTAGTGGTGGTAGTGGAGAATTGTGGCAGTGGCCGTAGTGGTAGCGCTGGTATTAGCGGCAGTGGTAGTGGCAGTGGCAGTGGTAGTGGTAGTGGTGGCTGTGAGCGCTGTTTTGCATGGATGGTGTTTTGCACCGATGGACACACCTTCCAAAATACGCTTGCTGAAGTAGCTGACTGTTTCATGCCTGCGACCAGCCGACGCGAAAAACTCTTGGAAACTAACATGGTCCGTAGTGTGGAACCTGCCGGACACATGCGGAAGTACTGTGAACACACCTTGACGAGACCGTACCATGAGGCAGTCGCCTGATGTACAGGATGTTGTCTCGCATGACTCATCACACTGGACCCAGCCCACAGGAAGTCCAACTCACCTTGGCATACCTTGGCCAGCTGCTTCGAGCCCACTGCTCGCGCCAGGCGAGCCTCAGCGCAGCTCTCACCAATAGAAGGCTTATACTTTTGATCTGTGCACCCGGGCTTGGATGTGTTCTTTTCAAGTCGGTCGGAAATCACAAAACTCTGCAATCCATCAGCTCGTAGCGCCTTCAAGGCAGAATCTAAGCAAACTGCACTCACCACGGCCCACAGTTGGACCATGGTGCGCTGCCGTCACATACATGCAGCGCGAGATTCCTGCAGCTTAGGAGAATTTCCAGTCACCGCACGTTCTGCAAGGGCGTTTGCTCGGGTACACTTGACAGTGACAGGCTACTGTTAATTCCTACGAGTAACAGCAGAATTTGACAGCTTGCACGTATCAACTAGGGAACTACGAACATCAATCAGATCCAGAGTGCATTTCGTCACAGTTCGGTGCAATCCTGTGCCTCGTTGAAATCTGCAGCTGCTGCATTCATGGCCTTGGCTGGAAACGACGACAGCGAGCAGCAAGGGATGAAATCGACAACTACCGCCACCACCACCACCACCACCACCACTACCGCCACCGCCACCAGCATCGTCGGGAATGCCATGACAGTCGCCATCGCCATCGGTACCATCACGTATTCATCCGTAGCCTCCTCTCTTCTCCTGAAACCATCGTCGTCATCATCCTCATCATCATCAACATCGTCATCACCTCAACAGCGTCATCATCACTTCGCCGCTGCGTTTTCCGGCCTCCAAGTGTCGCTGAATGCTGGCGATCTCCTGTCAATCTTCCGGAATCAGTCTTCGCACGACATGCAGATGGGGTGCTGGCATACTCTCATCATTTACCTGCCCTCAAGCAGCACAATCATTTAGAGCCACCTTGCGCGCTGAAAATTGTCTGCGAAAAAATGATTGCAACATGAAGTTGCTTGGAGAACCTTCAGCAGCGCAAGTGCACTTCAAAGCCGCAATCAAGGGTGAAATTCCATGAAGTTCTGCACCATGCAGTGTATCGGGCTGGAAGCGCACTGAAATATCCGTGTTCTGGACGTGCACGTCCATTGCAAGACGCATTGACTCTAGACTCTCGACATGCTGCCGAGCCGACAAGTGAAACACATCACGGCACCTTGTGGCCTTCAGCAGCTTGTGGCTGGCAATCTTCACGCTTGGCGTATGCCGCTCTTGATGGACTTGTCTGAGAAGAACTACTCAAGACGAGAACGCTTCTCATTTCTCACCCCAAAGTTTGGCACGAATGTCTTGCTCGTCATTCGAGCGAGATCGGAAGCGTGGTCGGCCGAATTAATTCAGAGTAACTACAGGCACGCAGGGGTTTCGCCAACCTCGTCTCACGGGCCTTTCGGCACTTGCTGGACTTGCCGGGCCTCCAGCAGCATGCAGCAACTGCAGCAATTGCAGCAAAGCTCATAAACCTCCTGCAAGCGTACGATGGGCAAGCTGGGTCTGGGAACGAGGGCAAACGAAACTGCGAACTGCAAATGTAAACGCAACACACACGCACCCAAACAGCAGGCGAAGCTACTGGGATACCATCTGCAAGATGAGCCGAGGCACCAGAGCATCTGGATGGAGGGCGGCTTTGCGGTGCCTTTCCCGCCTCTCCTGGTGAAAAGCCCAGAAAATAGTAGATAGATGTAAATAGTAGAATAAGGGAAACTGCGGATGGTTACACCTCCTCGGCGTTTGGCAACCGCGTCGGCGCCGAGCGGCCTTCCCGCCATCGGGTGGTATCCCTCCTCGGGATGGAGGGAAGTCTGAAAACCATTATTCAACAGCGGCTACTAACCCCATCGCATGAGATCCCGGCAGCTGCATGGCCTCCAGCTCTTCTGGAGTGCGTCGCATACCTAGGGCAAGAGAGTCACAAGATGCAAAACAAACCAAGTCAACACAACACAATTGCACAGAATGGATGAACTTCCCATGTGCAAGCTGCATCACGCTGCCGAGTCGCGGCCCGTGGACTGCTGGCTGCTGCTTGCCCAAGTAGAGTCGGTCATGCAGTCAGCCATGCAGTCTCCGTCCAAAATGTCCTGAGGCCGGAAAACGCCGGAAGATTGAGGCACAAGGCTATCTGTCTGGGAATCTTAGCGATCCCTGGGCCGCGGTCGGTGAAACAAACCATGCTGAAGCCGAATTCGCCGCCGGATCCAGGGTCCTGCAACGGGTGGAGCATCACGAACACTTCTGGCCAACAGCTGAGCCTGCACGACCTAGCAGCCTCAACCTTCACTTCCACATTTCTGGGCACCACCTTACTTCAGACCCTCAGCACAGCAGGATGTTGTACAGGGCTCGATTATGATCTTTGCTACCGGTGCAGACATCTGACACTCCTCGCGGGGCTCCAAGCTTATAAAAGATATTGTGACGGAAAACACAAAGCTGCCCTGAAGTCCCGTGTTCAGCTTTCATCGCCTTGAAGGGAATTAGACTCTGGCATCACACTGTCCGTCCCATCGCATTCGACAACCCTGCTCTCCTCTTCGGCGAGCCATCGCTCAAGGTCCTCTCCAAGGATACAAGCAAATTGACGGATTCACTTCGAGACTCCATTTTTTTTGGGGGGAATGCTGTCAGAATCAAGCACGCTCCCTTGGGCACTACAAGCTTTCAAGTGGACGGAGGCTCACGTCAGACGCGGAGCACATGCATGATCAATCACGAGAGGTGTCTTGAAATATTGCTGTAGCCAGCATGCGAGACTTGTATACTTGTCGGCCGGCCAGCCACGCAAAGACGTTGGCAAGTGAAAGTTAGACGTGCACGTGAAACTCTGGCAACAAACTGTCGCCTCTCGTGGTTCTTCCCGTTTCTTGTGAAAAGATTCGGGAAAAGCACGCCGCTCTATTTGAAGGCGGTTTTTTCTCTTCTTTGTGTTCTGGGGTCTGGGGACAGAGCGTCTGCACCTGGGAATATTGCACCGAGAATGAGGCACCTCTCTGCCCGACCCTAGCCTCCCTATGGAACAGTCCAGTCCTGCCCATCACGGCTGTCCGGCAGCTCTTCCTGTCGGAGTTGCGCCAGGCGCTTCTCCTTCTCGGCCGTGTGGGCCTAACGGCGCAACCGAAGCAAACAAACACCAGTCCTTCAAAAAGGAAGGCCGGGAGGTCAAACCAGCGTCTGCTTCGGGGGCACCCCGCCGTCAAACGTATGACATCATTTCAGGTGCGACGAGTTTGGAGATGTTCGTGGTCGATTTTCGTTACGGAAAAAATTGAGAGCTCATTGTGGGTCGGACGGTTCAGGGTTGTCTCCTTTTCGAGTTCAGCTGTTCCCAACCGTTTAGAGTTGAGGGTTGCTTTGAAGTTGTCGCGTCTCCCTTAAGGGTTTAGGGATCCCGTCCACTTAGGCTTTCGGGTTTGCCTCGGGTTTGTCTCACTCCTCTTAGAAAGTTTAGGCTTGGGTGTCTCTCAAGTTTTAATCATTGCTTTTCTGGTTTGGGCTCCTCTGGTGATGTAGGGTTTCCTCCTCTTTTTGGGAGTTCAGGGAGCTGTGGAGTTTCTGCCGAACTTTAGGGGCTGCGGCTGGTTGCGGCTGTCCCACCGATTTACATCTTATTTTACGGCTCGCAGCTTCCTTTTCGGGCTTCACTCCGTTAAGGGTTCTGGCTTTCCCTGCTTTCGGGCTTCTGTCCTTGAAAGGTTAGCTCTCATTTCAGCTTCGTTTTGGGGTTTGCGGCTTCCTCTACTTTTAGGGTTTCGGGGTTCTTTCACGTGTCCCTCTCCTTGTAGCGTTTGGGGTTGTCTTTGAGGGCTTCGCTGTTGATAGGATTTTGGGCTTAGGGTTCTGGGTTTAGGGATTAGGGTTCAGGGCTCGGGTTTCCTTATTCCCCAAACGTTTAAGGTCTCTTTCAAGTTGTTCACATTCCTTTGAGGGTTCAGGGTTCCGCTTCCTTCAGAGTTCAGGGCTTCTTCTGGGGGCTATCTCACTCCTGGGTTCAGAGTTGGGCTTGTTGAACAGTTTTATCGTTCGTTGTTGGTTTCCGCTCCTTATTGGGTTTTGGGTTTCCTCCTCGTTCTGGGGTTCAGGGTCTGCGTTTTAGGGGTTTGGGTTTCTTTTACTGGTATCTCGCTCCCTTTAGCCTTCAGGGTTGCCCTAGCCGTTTATGGTTTAGGGCATGTGTTAGGCAGACAGACAGACAGATCAGACAGAC